AGCTTCAAAGCACAGCCTGACTTAAAACCTACTGTGCTAAACAATGTTGTTAATTTATTAATGAGCATGTTTTGAGGGAAAATATAAAAGTAAAAAAAATCTATCCCGTTATGTCGGTTATTTATGAGCCAACTGCTTCATCCGGCGAACACTCATTGCACACGGCCCACGTTCAGCTGCTGCCCTGGGTACTGGGGCTATGGGAGCGAACAGAGAGGCTGGGCCTGCCCTCGGGGGTGCAGTCTGGTGGGGCGGGCAGATCTGAGCAGGTGAACTGGGCCACCGGCCGGGCGCTCCTGCCAGCTCCTGGGGGGGCAGGCGCACTGAGACAGCGGCAGTGGCTGCTGCCTTACAGGGGGTGGCACAGGCTTTGGCGAGGTGACAGTTGAGCAGAAACCTTAAGTAAAGGGAGAAGCAAGCCATGCATACAGACAATTACAAAACAATAAAACAGAGAGGGAGGGACAGCAGCTGGCCATAAGCCGCTGAATTATTGAAAAAGCTACTACTTGATCTGTAGGGATCACCTTCCTGTCACGTAACGACAGAGCACGAAGGCAGAGAGGGGTGTGTGGTGTGTTCCAGGAACCCGGGTGGAGCTTTAGAATTTCTATTTTAACCAGTGATTTAGATAAGTGACATAGCACTCCAAGCGAGTAAGAGTGAAGATAAAGGCCTAATGAAGGACTCAGGCCCACTTCACACAATTCTTGGGAATGGTCTCCTACAGATAAAAAGTTCAGAGGCACCTCAACCGCCTTCTGTAAGAGGAGCGGCAGTGATGGCCTGGCTCTGTCTCTCCCAGGGGGTTCTGGGAAGAGGCTCTGGGAAGCCCATTAGAGTCTCGGATACGGGAAGGCTTGCAGCAAGTCCCAGCGTGAACATGTGCGCAGTGTGTTCACAGCCCTGCACTCAGCGGCTGAGCTGGCGTCAGGAGACGGACTTCGTCCTGGAAAGAACACAGGCCTTGGGCTCCGTCAGATCCGGGGGGAAACCCTGTCCTGGCCTCTTGCTCCCGTGTGACCTTGGGCAGGTCACTCGGTCTCTCCGAGATGGTCTCCTCAGACAGGAAATGACCACACGTCCTAAGATAAGACAGCTGTGAAGGCGAGGGTCATACACAGAGGGCACGGGGTTGGGACACAGGCTCACAACAGCAGCCATTATGGATAAAAGGTCCACAGAGCACCATGCAGCATCAGAGACCTGCAACTGCTGACATTCTGATTGATTTCAATGTCTTGGAAAAAGGTTCAAGAATAATTTAAACAGAGCAGCTGATTTTATTACCGTCAAGTTCACAAAAGTGATCCTGTGAGTCATCGTATCTCGCCCAGTCAATGAAAGCCTCTTTGCTCTGATTGCTACGGGAAGGAGGGATGAAAAAGAAAAGGATTAAACTTGGAGTTGAAAATGACAACACTGTTTTCTAGTGTCATTAAAAACAGACAACCTGAGGCCACTGCTCTATTAGTTAGATGGTGTCACAAATTCAGTCAGTGGTCACATGCAGGGTGATGGAAGTTACATGAAAAACAGGTATCAATATGAACTTCCACAGATATTAACTGCTAGTGTGCATCAAAAAACATGCCCACGCAAGCTCATGGTAGCAGTTTATCTAAGTAAAAAATGTGAAACAAGCCCTAACCGGCTTGGCTCAGTGGATAGAGTGTTGGCCTGCGGACTGAAGGGTCCCAGGTTCGATTCCGGTCAAAGGCATGTACCTTGGTTGTGGGCACATCCCCAGTAGAGGGTGTGCAAGAGGCAGCTGATTGATTATTTATTTATTTAAAAATGTGAAACAATCTAAATGCCCATCAGGAGGGGATAAGTAAAATGAGGTATATCATGAAAACTATTAATCCGTCAAAAAAATAAGTCTCCATGTTTAACATGGATAGATCTAGAAAGCAAAATGTGTGGTGCGAAAAGAAAACTTGCAGAATGTGAAATATACTGTGTCATTTACAAAAAGGAAAAATAAAATCGTCTGCACAGAACCATACATATATGTGATAAAAACATGGCCTAGGTAGACACCAAATGCATGATGTAGTTACCGCTAAGAAAGAAGGAAAGAAAGCAGGATTGTGGGCTAGCAATGGGGGATTTTAATATCGTGGATATTTCTCTTTTCTTAAAAATAGTTGCAAGAGGTAGAAAATGTTAATATTTATTCATTTGGAGTGGAGGATATAAAGGTATTTATTATATTATCTTTTCTACTTTTCTATATTAAATTTTCTCTTTAAATAAATACTATAAATGAAATTGCTAACTTTATTGTAGACAACAATTATAATATATATATATGTGTGTGTGTGTATATATATAACTCTAAACGAACAGGAAAATTAAAAAGAATTTCTGTAACATTCCATTCCCCACTCACTGTATGTTCAGACACTTTACACTGCATAACCTGAGACTACGTACAAATTATTTACGTTGGCCCTCAAAAGCAGGTTTGTACTTAGAGCAAATAAGGAAAACCAATAGAAAAAACATCTATGAAATTTAATGGTTAATAGTAACCTTTATCATTCAAAATGTAATAGATAAATGGAAGTGCTATTTACAGAAGACTGAGTGGTTCCAGTTCCTTTTCCCGTAATAATCAGGAAGAACAGACTCACCACGCCACTAGCAATCTTCTAGATTTTTACTTTGTAAGAGAGGCACTATGGATGATTTAGATTTCAGGGCAAATCAGCCAAGAAGAGGAAGCAAAGCCTGTAATGGAATTTAGGATAAAGAATACTTCCTTCCTTTAAAAGTTAGTTGAGCCCTGGCCGGTTTGGCTCAGTGGATTGAGCGCTGGCCCACGGACTGAAGGGTCCCAGGTTCAATTCCAGTCAAGGGCACCAACCTCAGTTGCAGGTTCCCTGGCCCTGGTGGGGGCGAGTGCAGGAGGCAAACAATCAGATGGGTCTCTCTCACATCGATGTTTCTCTCTGTCTCTCCCTCTCCCTTCCACTCTCTCTAAAAATCAATGGAAAAGCATCCTCTGGGTGAGGATTAACAAAAATAAAATAATAATAATTAGTTGAGACGTTGATGTTTTTACATCACAAGAAAAACAGGAGATTGCTGACATAAACATAATAATTTTAATACGAAAACAAAACTTACCTCAATGTGCTGTTAATTGCTCCCAGTTTGCTAGCTTGCTCACAGTCCTCGAATTCTTTGGTATTGTTGGCCACTTTCAAGTACTGAAAGGAAGTTCACCATAAACAAGTTTTAGTGAAAAATCATTCCCTTCCTCTTTCTTTATTTCTGGCTCGGCTGGCAGAACAGTCAGTCTCCCAATGACGAGATAACACTAACTATAGCTACATCCTATTATTGAAAGAAGTAAGAAACACAGACGAAAACGAGTCACAGATTTCTACCTAATTAGTAAGCAAAGACATGGGAAACAGTCAGCAAGCTGGCGAGGATGTGCACTGAGAAGCCCTCGGGGGAACGTCTGACCACACTGACCAGGAGCTGCAGGACAGCAGGACCCTGGACCAGGGGTCCCTCCGCGGACACCCCTCCAGAGCAACAGTGACAAACAGACACCAGAACGATGCACAGCCACCTTCCAAGTTATCTGCACCATCCTGGGTGCTGGGATAGCAACCCCAGGGCCGCAGTCGTATTTCTACTACAGACCCAGGAAACCTACGCGGCACACAATGCGACAGAAGACAGAGAGCGTCACTGTGTGTAACAGCAAAAAACAAAGACAGTTGAAATGACCATCAGTACAGAACATGAGACAGTCACACAACTGACTATCAGGCAGCTGTTGAAAGTGAACTAAGACGACATATCAACAGAGACAACGTTTAAAAAAGCATAATGCTCAGTAAAAACACAGGCTGAAGCCCTGGCCGGTTTGGCTCGGTGGATAAAGCCTTGGCCCGAGGACTGACGGATCCCGTGTTCAATTCCGGTCAAGGGCACGTACCTTGGCTACCTGGCCCTGGTTGGGGCACGTGCAGGAGGCAACAAATCAATGTGTGTCTCTCACATCGATGTTTCTCTCTGTCTCTGTCTCTCCCTTCCACTCTCTAAAAATCAATGGGAAAATATCCTTGGGTGAGGATTAACAAAGCACACACACACAAAAACAAATATACTGAAACAATGTATTAACCTGAAGAAATATAAAAGTATAGTATCTAAATCTCTTAAGATGTCATAAAAAAGCTCTATACATGCTGTGGACACATGTACAATAAAGTATGGAAATAAAAAGTATCACAGAAGGATACGCATCAACTTCAGAAAAGTGTCCAGCTCTGGGGAGGGAGGGCCCGGAATGGGGGTGGGAAGGAGTCCGGAAGGACTATCTTTATACTGTTTGTTTACTTGAAATCTGAAACAAAAATAATAAATAAAAGAGTGTGAACGTGAACAAAAGACCCGGTGAGGGAGAGAGAGCCAGAAGAAAGTGGAGAAATGACGCATCACAAGGAAGCAGAGAGGGCCTGAGGACCTGCACGTGTCCGTGCCATCGTGGAAAACGACAGGTGTACCGTGTCTAGGCACACGTGAGTGACAGTAAATCAGGCATACTCAGAAGAGGAAAGGGTGATCTTTAATAAAGAAGCATTTTAATAAAGAAGCATCCATTCCCTGCCCAGCCAGCGTGGCACAGTGGTTGACCATCGACCCATGAAACAGGAGGTCAGGGTTCGATTCCCGGTCAGGGCACATGCCCAGGTTGTGGGCTCCATCCCCAGTGTGGGACGTGCAGAAGGCAGCCAATCCATGAGTCTCATCATTGATGTTTCTCTCTCTCCCTCTCCCTTCCTCTCTGAAATCAATATACATCGTGGGCTCTTCTGTACCCCGCCAGCAGTATGCATGTTGCCCCATGTAAAGAAGAAATAGGCAGCGAAGACGACGACTCACCTTGTTCGAAATCCCAGCTTTAATTCCGACGGGAATTTTACTCTTAAAAGAACAACAAAAATTTTAAAATTTTCATTTTTTTGAGATTTCTTCACAAACTAATAATGCTACTGCTCCACTAGAAGGGCTATTTTATTCCACAGGAGAAAATGCACTGTCATTCAAATGCTGTAACTATACTACCTCTTTGAGGTGAAAGGTGAGGAGTTACACCAATGCAGACTCTAAGTTATAGGATAGAAAACTGAATGACACACACAAAATCCGAGCAGCAAAACAACTCTAACGTACACTCTCACTGCAGTATTTAGTAGTTTGTACAATTTTTACGTTTATAAAATGACTAGATCTCTTTTTCCATAAACGTTCTTACCCCAAAAACAGAAGTTTTAAAAATTTCAAAATTTCTGAAATAGTTATGCTCAATTTTTATTTCTGCTCTAAATTGACATTTACAGTTTAGGCAATTTTGGGTTAATGTAGATGGCAAGAGTAAGTTCTCTGGCCCATATTTACCTAGAGTTTACCAATAGAAGAACTGCATGTAGGTTCCGCTTTTTTCTTAGCAAGTCAACACTACTAATTTCCTAATTTGACTAATTATGTTGTGGTTAGATAAGAGAATAATCTTGTTTTTAAGAAAATACATACTGAAATATTTAGGGATAAAAGATCACATTTGTAACTTATACCTAAGTGGTTCAGAATATAATGATATTAATAAATATATACAGAGAGAGAATAATAAAGCAAATGTGATAAACACTGACAGTTAGGGACTCTGAATAAGAAGTATATGGAAATTGTACTATTGCAACTTTTCCCTAGGTCTGAAATTATTCCAAACTTAAAACTTTAAAAAATACACTATATTCTTAAAGGAAAATGAAGATAATATATTTTTAAATGTTTCCCATTAGGAAGGACATCTGTTCGGATAGTTTTATCATACTTTTAAGGACAAGAAACTACACTAACTTAGTTAGATAAAAAAAGCAAAAAGTCAAATGAAAATATGACTCATAACAAATTACTAATGAGAAAGAATATAACCAATCATGTTAGATGTCAGAAAACAAAATCTAAAATGTAACATTTCATTACAAATAAGGGTAACCTCTTTTTTCTATTGTAAGAAGACCAGTTGGAGACCTAATGCCAAGCCTGAAATTTCCCTATTTTATGCGCTTTCATTCCCACTCTAAACTTGAGATTTAAGGTCCAGTAGCATTTTCTTTGCCTCTGAAACAAGAGGCAGACTCAAGAGAGCACGGAGTGAGTCAGCCAGGGGTAGGCCCCGACCCCGCAGCCGCTGGCTCTGCGTGAGTTACCTCTGGACACGGCTCCACGTGGCAGTCCTTTATGGAGCAATGGCCGTCTTCCGCCCAGAATGGGCACGGCCGCTTCAGGTTGACCTGGAGAGAAAGAACGCGTCCCCGTGAGCACACGCGGGTGCCGGCTCTGCAGGGCTGTCCTCGGGGTCCCCATGCTGGGGCAGGTGACAAGGTGAGGGAAGAGCCTCCTGTCCCAAGGCGCCTGCGTGGCTCAGAACTTAAATGCCTGCCATGCTCCAGACTCCCAGATGTAATGTTCATTTTTAAAAGTAAACGATGCTCGCCTACCCGGTTTGGCTCAGCGGATAGAGCATCGGCCTGAGGACCGAAGGGTCCCGGGTTCGATACTGGTCAAGGGCACGTACCTTGACTGGCCCAGGCCCTGGTCAAGACTCCTGCAGGAGGCAACCAGTCAATGTGTTTCCCTCACATCGGTGTTTCTCTCTGCCTTTCCCTCTCTCTTCCACTCTCTCTAAAAATCAATGAAAAAATATCCTCAGATGAGGATTAAAACGTAAAAATGAATGAATGAATGAATGAATGAATGATGCGCTTTGTCCTCTGACACTTCAAAAAAGGAATGAAACCAAGCGCACGGCTCATCTGGAGAAGCGGAAAGCATTTTCGGGCTCCACACCTCACTTCGCCCAGGGTCTCCCAAGCCCCCTCACCTAACAGGTGCGTCTGAGCACCCACGGCCTGTCAGCGCTGGGTGGGCTCTCAGGGAAGATGAAGGTAAAGCACTTCCCCCCCCAGCTCACCATCTACCGGGAGGAACAGAAATTATACGCAGGGTGTCCCCCCAAAAAAACAGATGTCCACACACTGTAACCGCTGAGAGCTCACTTTTGAACAGGAGAGGCATGTTAATAGCACTGCCTTGGTAATTACTCAGAGTGTGCAGACATTTGGGGGACAGCCCATATTTGTGTTTCTTTGATAACAAAGTGTGGTGAGTGCTACCGGGGAGAATCCAGGCTGGCCGGCCCGCCTGCCTTCCTTTCTGTCTTGTCTTTGTCTTTCTCTCTTTTTTTTTCTGTCTTCATTTTTCTTCTCTTTCTCACTTTCTTATTGTTCCCAGCATTACAGATATCCCCCAGTTTCCCTCATCCCTTAGCCCCCCTCCTCCCAGCCGCAGCCCCAACCCAGGCCAAAACTTAAGACGCGATTCCTTGCGTCCTGCCTTATTGTTGCAGCCTTTTACCTGCCGCTGGCTGCTCTGTCAGGGCCTGGAGGTGACCACGGTTAGATTTGAAAACCGACCCTGCAGGGTGACTGGGGGTGGCGCTGGCCTGCACCCCCAGCCTGGCCAAGGCTCCCAGGTGAACGGCTAACTGTGAGATCTGACATGGGGAGCAACCTGGCACAGGGCACTGCGCTCAGCCCGGCTCAGCGCCTGGGCAGGTGCGTGGGTGCAGAACCTAAGGTCCGAGGCGCGCTGACAAAACAAGCTCCCCGGCCCTTTCAGCTTCTGTGAAGGGAAGAGTCTCTGCCTCAAAAGTGAAAGTGAAAGATGAAGAATTGTCCAAGCAGAGGGAGAGGGTGCAGATGCTTAGAGTGTAAAAAGGCGACAGGTTTCAGCCCCGGACAGGGCGGCTCAACAGGCATCGTCCCTGCACCGAAAGGTGGCCGGTTGGATTCCAGGTCAGAGCACATGCTCAGGTTGCAACTCGATCCCCGCTTGGGGCAGGGGGTGGTGGGTGGGGGTGCAGAGGCAGGCAATCTATGCTTCTCTCTCTCCTCCTCTCTTTAAAAATCTAAAAAAAAAAAAGAAATGCTAACAGGTCTTCGGTGTAATACTTAATACATTCCAGTGATAAAAGATACACATAGGGTGCTGAGGAGTCAAACCTGAGTCTTTAAATGGGTGATAAGAGTCACACCTGTAGACAGTGATTGAAAACCTTTGGAAATAACAGAATGAAAAATTATACCCATACCTTGTAATAACGGAAGTAGTCTCGCTCTTGCAACTTTTTTATTTTGGGGAAGATTTTGTACGTGTTAAAGTTATCGATGCTCTCAATATCACACAAGCAATCATCCAGGACTCCAATGACCTAGAAAAAAACAATATATATATATACACATCTATAAAATTCAAAATATGTAAATGATGTTTGAACCTTAACAGACCTGTACTAGTACACAAAAAGATAATGTGTATATTCAAATTAGCCAGTATTTGCTCATTAAGATACATAACAAGGTAGTCTCTTTTTACTATGGTCAATTCAATAAAAACAACAGGAGGATTAGATATACCCATTCTGAAGAACTACATATTTTTATTTAGCGGTAAAAAAGAAAGACATTGCGTGCTCTTTCCAGGCCTAAACATAGATTTAATCCAGTGTTTCCTAGCTCTAACTGGGCCCAGTCCTGCTCTGGTATTACCTGGAGTTGGAGCAGAACCCGCAGGTTAAGGGTTCAGCCGCACAGGGCTCCCCTGGCCACACAGGCCAGCCCCAGACCCTGGGCCCCCTGCACTTGAGGGCTATTCGCCCGGGTTTCCCAGGACCCCCTTCTCAGGTGGGATAATTGGCTGGAACGGCCTGCAGAACTCAGGAAAACACTCAATTCATGTGTACTGGGTTCTTGTAACGGCGACAGCTCGGGAACAGCCAGATGGGAGAGATGCACAGGGCACGGCACTGGGAGGGGAGGGGCAGACCTTCCTCACCTCCGAGCCACCTGAGGGACCACCTCGTCTCTGTTCTCGCCCACCTGGGAGAGAGCACCCCGTAGCTTTCAGAGCTTCTCTGGAGCCCACTCCTGGAGGTCCAGGCCACCCTGCGCCCACCTAGGGGCTCCCCACCTAAGTGTTAACGGGCCGAAAGGCACTCCGCATACTCAGGAGGTCCCGAGGATGTCAGGAGCCGAGCCAGGACAGGTAGGTGACAGGGACCCGATACACAGCTGCTTACACCTGAGCGAGACAGGAAGGCCTGCGGGGCTCACGCCGTCAGAGGGACATGAAGTCCACAGCCAGGTGGAGGGTGTGGCTTGCACTTTGTATCATCAGAGAAGGTAGCCGTTGAGTAAGGGGACAAGTCTGACAGGCGACACCTTAGCAGAAACCTAAGGGAGCAAGGGAACCCCAGGAAGACCCCAGGAGAGGGTGCGCGGCATCGAGGCTCGAGGCTCGAACACACTTGCCACGTCTGAGGAACAGCGGGGAGGGGAGGTGGCTGCAGCAGGCATAGGGGGGAGCAGACTGGGACGAGGAGTTGAGGAGGTTCGAGGGGCAAGATCAGGAAGCTGGTGCCTGGTGCACCGAGTCTGAGCTGCCTCGGCGGCATCCATCCGAGTGGAGACGGTGAAACGGGGCTGATATTCGGACCCAGAGTGAAGACTCCTGGTCTGGGGACTCGGAGAGCGGATTGTGTAGGTGGAATCCAAAACCAACAGGTCACATGAAATGTATTCAATAAACTCATCTCAATGATTTCATGTGAACAGAATATCTTCGCAAAAAAATCTACATTTTTCTTTACGCTGAACTGTCTTGCTTCTGATTTAGTATATGAAAAAACAGTCTAAGTTTCCCCATTTCCTGTTCCTGAGGCTCCCTGCACTTCACTTTTACACGACAAAGGAGCAAGCACCCTGGCATCCACTGTGCGGATCAAGGAGTCCCACTGCCCCGCCAGGTTGAGCGTCGACCTATGAACCAGGAAGTTACAGTTCGATTCCCAGTCAGGGCACATGCCCAGGTTTTGGGCTTGATCCCCAGTGGGGGGCGTGCAAGAGGCAGCCGATCCGTGATTCTCTCTCACCATTTTTTTTTTTATCTCTCTCTCCCTCTCGCTTCCTCTCTCTGAAATCAATAAAAATATATTAAAGGTGACAGAACCGGTTTGGCTCAGTGGATAGAGCGTCAGCCTGCGGACTGAAGGGTCCCAGGTTTGATTCCGATCAAGGGCATGTACCTTGGTTGCGGGCACATCCCCAGTGTGGGGCGTGTAGGAAGCGGCTGATCGGTGTTTCTCTCTCATCGATGTTTCTAACTCTCTATCCCTCTCCCTTCCTCTCTGTAGAAAGTCAATAAAACATATTTTAAAAAATCACATATATATATATATATTAAAGGGGAAAAAAAGAAAGAAAGAGAAGGGCCCACTGGGCCTCTGCTCTGACTTCCTCAGTGACCTAGGTGTGGTATTAGTCACATGGGCTCTCTGAACTTCAGTGACGGGAAGAGCCTCATTTCTGAGACACACAAGTAAAATGAGAGAACGGACACTGAAACCTGCTACAGACTAAAGAACTATCTAAAGTACAAACACTCTATCAGAAACTGCCACCAGAAACAAAAAACAAACGTATTCACTTCTGAGGCTCGTCTGGCACAATGCCAATCTGCATATGCACAAATCTTTCATTTCACCGAGTGAATGAAATGAATTGAAAATCACCCACATTCACTTGGATATAATAAAGGTGAAAGGATAGATGCAATTATGAAGCAGTAATACACATAATTAGTAGCAGATGAAGAAATGAGAGAGTGAGAGAGAAAGAGAGAGAGAGAATCTCATGCTAGAAAGATATCTAAATGTAAATTCCACTCAAAAACATGCATCCAGCCTGGCTGGTGTGGCTCAGTGGCTTGAGTGTCAACCTATGGCCCAGGAGGTCAGAGTTCGATACCTGGTCAGGGCACAAGCCTGGGCTGTGGGCTCCATCCCCAGTGTGGGGCGTGCAGGAGGCCGCTGATCCATGATTCTCTCTCATCACTGAGGTTTCTCTCTCTCTCTTCCTCTCTGAAATCAATAAAAAAATATTTTTTTAGAAAAGATTCAAACATGGACACAAGTAGACTATCCAGGCATTCTGGGCTTTAGTGCAGAGAGCACCGTAAGGCCAAGAAAAAAGTGTCTAAATAGACACTGAATCGAGTCGAAAAAAATACGTGTGCACGGTCATACTCATCATTCCCTCCACTCTTTCTTAGCAAGGGGCATAAATAGCTTCAAAACACAGCTCCCCTGGTGATCTGCCACCGGAGACACCCTGCTCCTCCTCCCGGCAAGTTCTGCCTCTTGGCGGCAGGTGCAAACAGCCGCACCTGGCAGCCGTGCAGCCCAGTTCGACCGTGAAACCCGAAGCAAACACGCCTCTGGAGGGCAAAGATCTGGGCACTCACTACCCCTCCGATTCCCAGCAGATCGAACCCTGTGTGCAACACACGCCTCGCTCCCACCCAGATCCGCTGGCAGCCGGGTCCGGCCCCCAACCCCTGCCCCAGCCCTGCCCCT